AAAAAAAAAAAAAAAAAAAAAAAAAAAAAAAAAAAAAAAAAAATGACTTTTAGATATCTTACCTGAATCTTTGAGTATTATTTTGAATTATATTAGTAACTACAATGTTAAAAATACAATGTATACAATAGTATGTCATTTAATGCCTATTCCAATAAGTTTTAAGTGGAAGCTTGCAGCAAACTACATTTACTTACATTCACTTACAGATAACAGATGTTACACGCGTGACAATAGAAAAGAAACTTAAAAATATGTAATTTCAAATATCATACATCAAACATTTGATTGATAAAGTATATTTTTACGAAACTATCCACAAAAACTAATTCAGATTGAAATGTACACGAGACGAATGCATTTCACACAATCAGGCCTTATATGGAAATCAGATAAATTCGATTCAAAATCAGATTCTGCGTATTCTGTGTATGAACGAGAAAAAAGAAGAAATTACATTTTATTGCGAATTTTTATTTACACAATATGCTACAGTTAGGGAAGACAAATGCTCGTATATCTTTCAATCTGAATTAATTCCTGCACACAATATATTGAAAATATCCTAACTAATCAAACATTCACTCCGTTTTAAATTTTAATCTATTCAAAGAATCAGCTTGCATGAACAGTTTGGTGCGACTTGTTCAATTTGGTAGCGGACGAATCGTCTAAATGGACATGTAACTTATGTGCATGAAAGTGCGATTCATAGTTGAAGCCTTCGTTACAAACATTACATTTGTAAGAGTACAATTTTCGTACTTTATCCGGATAATGCTTAAACTTGTGATGATGATGAAGCTGATATAGCCCTAAAAACGATTTGTCACATATTGAACATAAATAGCTTTGATCCTTAGAGTAATATATGTTGTGTTCAATAAAGTGTTCGTGAGATTTGAACAGCAAGTGACATATATTACAGATTAGTTTACAATTATGGTTGACGTTTAGCGCTGGTGTAACATCCTGTTTATTATGGAAGTGTCCTTCGTGCATTCGAAGCTTCTTTTTCTTATTGAATCCCTGATTACAAAATCTGCAAAATAGCTTACAATTCTTCTTGTATGATGGTGTGTGAGCAGCAAGCACGTGTTGTTGCAATAATTTTTTAGTAGAAAATGCTATATTGCAATGGTTACATTTGGTAGTGGCTGGTTGACAGTATGTACGCTCGTGTATGCACAAATTCTGAAATATCTGGAACTGTATTCCACAAATGGTGCAAGGGAACTTCGTTTTCTCTATGTTAGTAGTTTCGTAGCCCTTCACGCATGCAATCCCGTTAAGCATCCTTTTCTGGATCGAGGAAGAGTAATTGGAATTATTGCTTTTTAAAACAGGCATACTTGAGGCCGAATTTTCCACAGTTGCTGTCCCATCCAGGGCAGCCAGCATTCTTTCTAGATCAGGTGTTCCTACTCTGTCGATTTTGTTACTACTCGACTCACTTTTGTTAATACTCGATTTTTTAGGAGACGAAGATTCACGTTTTATGCAAGATGCATCCTCTTTTTTACGTATCAAGCATTTCAGTCGGCCACATACTTTCTCGTGTTGCTGCAAACACGAGCTCAGCCAAAATCGTTTGTGACAACCTTTGCATCTGTTTAGTTTCTTAAACGCGACGCAGTTTATTTCAACGTCAACTGGCAGAGTGTCCTTGCTGGACCTTATAGTTTTCACACAATGCAGGATCATGTGTCGCTTCAATAAGGCTGACGAGTTAAAATTTTCGTAACACACGCAACATTCCTTTCGTTTGAACACAACATGTTGACGTATGTAATGACTTAGTAACTTCTTCATGGATGTGTAACGTGCATTGCATATACTGGACATATAGATTGAGTGAAACAGTTTCATGTGTTCGCGCCGGTTCTCCTTCAAAAAGAATGATTTCTTGCATATGTGACACTGAAATGTTTTCCGACTAAGGTCCTCCTTCTTAGATTTCACTAATATATCGTCCGAGCAATTCGCCTTCTTTAACGATACAACAGGTATTTTCACAGTTTTACGTTCGGTAGGAAATATTTCGTCACGGTGTATATGGAATAAATGAGCCTGGAGTTGCTTTTTATAGGAAAACCTTCGATTACAAAAATTACAATTATATCCAGTCGTATATTTTTTGCAAGTACGTATCCTCAAATGAACAGTCAAAGAATATGATTTATGGAAGATTGCGGAGCATTTGTGGCACTTGAACACATTGGAAGTATATACTTTTTTATGCATTTCCGAAGAAATTTTATTTCTAAAAGTTAAAAAACAAACATCACAAGTTAGTTTCTTTCTTCGAGACAGTTTGTGTTTACCATTTTCTTCGTTAAAAACTGTTTGGTTCTGTTTGTTTGATATATTTTCATTTGAATTGTTTTTTATTAGAGAAACACTCTCTTCAGGGGACACAGATCTTTGATTTGCACAATTAACACGTGCAGAAGATTCATCTGTTGTTTGATTTGTTGTACTCACATCACTTTGATTTCTTGTACTCGTATCAACCGATGACACATTATCACAGATTTGGCGCTTTTCTTTTATTTGCATTCCATGTTTGAAGGACTGAAAAAGATATATAAATAACCTAATGTAATATCCTAAGGAACAAGAAATCTATAAAACTGTTCTAGCCTACTAATTGAAGTTTACTAAATATATATGATGATATGAATGTAACTATTAAAACTATCTTTAGAACTAGACACTATGTTTAGAAATAATCATGAAGAACATAACTTACACTAGAGACATCTGGCAGAGATCTGATAAATTAAAACCACTTAAGGATAATCACAAAAAAAAAAGGCAAAGAAAAATGTTCTAAACCAAATCATGAAAAAATCTATATGAATCTATATAAAAATGATTAGGAACAATAATAAGCTCTGATATAAGCTTGGTAATTTTTGTATTAAGATATTCTTGTATGCCAATCATATTTGGTTTTGTACATATTACTTATATAATCATTATTTCAAAAATCAAATTCAAAATGATGATAGAATTCAAAGATAGAGACAGAGATCAATTTTGTATAAATATACAGTTCCATTAGAATTGCTAAGTTTTCCTAGGCGCCCAATAGTCTTCATGAGTCAATGCTTTCAGTAACGCTAGCTATAAGAAAATCTTGGTCAATACACGAATTAAGTCCCATGTCTAGTAATTCTAGGACCTTAGAATAACATAAAAATTTCGATTCCATCCTCTACGTATTGCAAAGTCCAATATTAGGGCTCGAAACTAATTTTTAAATTCTCGAAATTCAAATCTGAAATGAGATGATTCTACTACAAAATTCTATGAAAAATTTTATAAATATTCTATGAAAAAATAAACCGACAAGAAAAAATATAATTTTTCTCTAAGATTTTTCGTTTTCGAGTTTGAAAATTCACCAAAGCAATTTTTAAAGAAAAATATTCAAAAGTTTATTTTAAGTTTTCAATTTATTTGTACACGTAGAATAAGCTCTTGTTAATTATTCTTTTTTGATCTAAAATCAGCCAAATAAATAATGATAAATTTTCAAACGATTAATTTTCACACTAAACATCTTACAAAAAATTTTATTCCTCATTTTCAATTTTATTCATATTTTTTCATGTATAATCAAACCTTCCTTGCTTGTGCTACCAATACATGGACACTCTGTTCTAGAACACCCTAGAATCAAACTTGTTCCAAAGATAGCTAATGTTCCAAATTTTTCTCTTTCATTGTTATCAGTTCATATAAATGTACATACAAATCCAAATGTGTGTTGCATTGCAGATTTTCTTCAATTATTTGAATATTTTCAATCTATGAGTTGAAGAACCATAATACAAAAAGTATTGGCGTAACAAATCATAAGTAAAAAACATAATCCTAGGATTTAGAAATTTATTATAAAAGTTTTTAAATTTTGTTAGAAACCTGTGTCTTTCAATTTAATAATTTAATTTAATTTATATCAGAAATCAATGTTCGCTTCCAATAACCAAAGAAACAAATAAAACTTCATAATATTAAAGCAGTCAAAGATTCATAAACATTAGCTTAGTTTATTATATTGCTTAAAATTTATAGAAACAAGATATACCAACATACTAATAAATGAAGTTTCAAGAAGTACTTACATATGTTCCACCATTTATCTTTATGTCCATAAAGATTGTATCAATAGAACGTGTGTAAACAAAAGCTCGAGCCATTTTCCTTACAAAATTATTGTTATATTTAGATAAACTAGCTAAACTACATGTATATAAAGAAAATCTATTATTAATGAATAGTAAACTTGAATAAAATCCTCAAAAAGCATGTTTACTTTAAAATATATTAAAATTGTAATAACTTTTAATTGGATACAGGAATTACATAAAATAAATGAATGAAAATCTACACATTTGTCAATTATTTGACAGAATTAATAAAATTAATTTAGATTAATGAAAATCTAGTGATTTGTCGATTATTTGACAAAAATTTCTTAAAGCAATGACATACAGACAGAAAACAAAGAATATGTTTCAGGTTAACTACCACACATGAACTTAAAAACAGTTTATACATTCTTACTATTCATTTGATTTCAACATATACTTTAGTTTAATAATATTCAAATAAATAGTAAATCTCTCTTTATACACGTCTGTGTACAAATAGCAAAATTACCTAATAAAAGTCAGGTTTTATCACAATAACACTATAACTCAAAATGGCACCCAATGTTATAACGGAGTTTGCCGCCTTTTCCTTGAACTCTCACTATCGGTAAATTAGTGACCTTTAAAATATATTTATCGATCAAAAAATTTTATAAAATCATAAAATTTATAATTTATATACAGATATTACTAAAACGATATTAAAATATTAATTTCACAATACAAGAAAGTTGTTATTTTCTCCAATATATAAATTTTTCTAATATGTTGCGTATAATATTATATATATTAATTTTAATGAAAAATTTATTGTGCAATTTTCAAACAAATCATATTTAAACACCATATTATTGTATAAAATAACATCATACATACTAATTAATTTTAGCATTTTATTATGATAAAAATAGTGTGTTTATCAAGAGTATATAATAAATTACAATTTAATTATGTAACAATAACTTAAAAACGGAATCATACAACTAAAACGCATGTGTATAGGTGAACTCTTTTCATTAATTTCAAACATTAATAATAGACTTTCTTCTTTTTCCATTTCTCTATATAAACTATATAAACTCAACTTCTATATAAACTCTTATACATATCTGCGTATTTACTGCACATATTCATAAATATTTAATTATAATATTTTATAAGAAATTATTATAGAGCTAAAATGATGTCAAAAATGAAAGGACATAATAAATATTGTCATTCTTGTTTCATCATATGTACTTATATTGGAACTATCAGAAATGACCAATCGCATCCATGTTCCTTTGTCTAGACTTCTTATCATTGGTTATGCTTCTAGCTAGTGAAATTCTATTGGTTGTTCTAATGTTAACGATAAGATGTCATACTATGACAATGCACGCAAAGAAATTGATTATGGAATTTAATGGAACTCAACTTTAACGGTCGGTAAAATACTAACATACATAATTTCATCTGAGATACTAAATTTAAACAAGATAAAGTACAAAATATAAGCAGATCAGTATAGAGACGAGATCATAATAGACTTGATATACAATATATTTTTTGTCAAACAGTACAGCATTCTAAAATCGACTTATCATTTTAGTGTCATTCCCAACATTACCGATTCGACGTTACGAATACATTCTTTGATCCTTTTAGTCCAGTCACAGACGAGGTATATGAATAGACCACTGACTAATTTGT